ATTTCTCTGGGGCATAATATGTTAGTATTTGACAATTTTCTTGTATATGAGCTGTCAAGTCAAAATTTGTTTCTCATATACACAAGCCTCATAATAGCCATACATTTCTAGAAGTCCATACCTCTCTTCAAACTTCTCCCTTTAGACATTAGAATCTGAATGGGGGAAAAAAATAATTTCATAGAGTTTCTCTCCTTTAATTCAAAGAATTTAGGGAGTCCCCTGGCTGTCCAGTGCTTAGGATTCAGTGCTTTCACTGCTGTGGGTCGAGGTTCAGTCCCTGCTCAGGGGCTGAGATCCCACAAGCCACATGGGCAGCCAAAACCGAAAACAAAAAAATTATTTCAAAATTTAGTGAATACACTGCCCAAGCAGGGCAATAAAGCAATGAAAATATAGTAGTAGTAAAACAAAGCTCTGTAAAAATTTAATCATTAAGCAGAAAAAGAGTTTGATTTTACAGATGAAAAAGGTGCTGAAACATTTTGACCACAGCTTGTAAGGTGAAGAAGGGGCTGTAACAAGAGGATGAGAAGGCTGTGTTTAATTTATTTTCCCCTCATTTTGTTTGCACGAGTAATTTGAGGGAAGAGTTTTTCAATGCTGGCTATAATTATTAGGCCAAGAAATTTTAGTTGACATAAGGTTGCAACATTCAGTATGCAGGAAAAATAGGGCAAGTCAAAAATCAAAATAAGTTTCTTCTCATGGAGCTATGAGATGAGTGGGACAGCTTGTACACTAACTGCACAGATGAAGTCATCTTTGTTGTACCAATATTAAAGACGTGACATAAGAATCTTTCAGTTCCATCTTGCTCTGCCATGTAATGTTGGCGACAGGTATTTAAGAACTGCCTGTTCTGTCCAAAAGATTCAGTAGCTACTGAGCACTATCAGAGTGTCTATGTACATAGTTACTGCTCCCAACTGCTTTGAAGCACAACAGACCCTCCGTGTGGCAGGCACCACTCAGGTTGTAATTCTCCCCTTTGAATTTCATAGTCATCATTTAACATATGAAAAAAAAATGTTTTTCTCACACTTCAAAGATAGTGAATAAGATTTTTTTTTTGAGACCATTTTTATTTAAGAAACAAACTTACTTGCTTTCTACATGCAAAGAGCCTTACAGAAACATAGTAAAATACTTTACATGATGTCTCAGAACCTTCCTCAAGTTTGCTTTCATTGCGTAATCAGTTCCATTTGGTGGAGAATTCTTGAGATTATTTCACATTCTGTTAAATAAATGCTGCTGCTACTGTTGCTGCTAAGTCATGTCAGTCGTGTCCGACCCTGTGTGACCCCATAGACGGCAGCCCACCAGGCTCCCCCGTTCCTGGGATTCTCCAGGCAAGCACACTGGAGTGGATTGCCATTTCCTTCTCCAATGCATGAAAGTGAAAAGTGAAAGTGAAGTCACTCAGTCGTGTCCGACTCTTAGCGACCCCATGGACTGCAGCCCACCAGGCTCCTCCGTCCATGGGATTTTCCAGGCAAGAGTACTGGAGTGGGGTGCCATTGCCTTCTCCATGTTAAATGCTAACATACACCAAATACATAGAATCATAGGGGGCTGTTGGTGTGAAGCAGGATGCTTCTGCAAAATTAGGGGAAATTAAGCTAAAGATCAGTATGATAATCAAATGTTACATTTTCCACTAACCCACAAGGAAAAAAGAAAAGAATTGGAAGCCTTGCAGTTGAATCCAGGTATGCTTTTTCTGAACAGTTACTTGGTGTTTACTAATGTGGAAGCAAGATGATCCTTTGAGTACTCTGGTTTGAGAATTTCCAATTGTTACTTGATATTCTAATGGAAGAGATATTGACTCCAAGCTTTGCAAGAGAGGGGTATGTTGCAATAATCTCTTCTTTAGCGAAGGGGGGAAAGTGGAAACAGTGGCAGATTTTATTTCTTGGGCTCCAAAATCACTGCTGATGGGGACTTCAGCCATGAAATGAAAAGGTGTTTGCTCCTTGGAAGGAAAGCTATGACCAACCTAGACAATGTATTAAAAAGCAGGAGACATCACTTTGCCAACAGAAGTCTGTATAGTCAAACCTATGGTTTTCCCAGTAGTCATGTACAGATGTGAGAGCTGGACAATTAAGAAGGCTGTGCACTGAAGAATTGATGCTTTAGAATTGCGATGCCAGAGAAGACTCTTGAGAGTTCCTTGGACTGCAGAAAGATCAAACCAGTCAATTCAAAAGGAAGTCAGTCCTGAATATTCATTGGAAGGACTGATGCTGAAGCTGAAGCTCTAATACTTTGGCCACCTGAGGTGAGGAGCCCAACTCATTGGAAAAGACTGTGATGCTGGAAAATATTGAGGACAAGAGAAGGGGGCAGCAGAGGATGAGATGGTTGGATGGCCTCACTGACTCAATGGACATGAATTTGAGCAAACTCCAGGAAATAGTGAAGGACAGGGAAGCCTAGCATGCTGCAATCCATGGGGTGGCCAAGAGTCAGACACGACTTATCAACTGAACTACAAACAACTTCTTTAGAAATGTTGAGTCCATTCAAACATGTCAGAATACAACTTGCCCTGATATGAAAGTTATTAACATGGGAACCTTCCTTGTCTTTTCTTGCCTTTTAATAACCCCCCAAAATGAACTGTTTCAAATTTTATATACATATATATATATATAATTTTTATATTCTGCAAGCTCTGCAGAACACCATGGCATTAACATTAAAACAAGCTTACAGGTGAGCTAATCTCCATAGTAATATTGAAAAGCAGATAAACAATTCTGGATAATAGACATGAATACATTAACCTGTTTATTACACTTTTAATTTCTTCCTAGTACACATGTTGACAGCTTCACTACAAGGAAAAAGTTTAGAAAAATCAGAGGAGATAGAACTATTTTATTTTTGCAATAAAAAATAACACTGAAATTTCTATAGTAGTCCTGTCCTGCAGAATAGAATATAAGCTACATAAAATTATTTAAAGTTTTCTAAAGAGCTTCATTTCAAAAAGTATACTTAAATAATACATTTTGTTTAATCCAATAAATCTAACAGTATTATCAACATATAACCAATTCAAAAAGTATTCATGAGATATTTTAGATTATTTTTCTTACACTAAATCTTTGAAATCTGGTGTATATTTTATACTCACAGACAATCTGAATTTGAACTCTGGTCACATTTCAAATGCTTAATGTCTAGTGATTTAACATAGGAGCACCGCAATATGTAAGGCAAACGCTAACGAGTATGAAAGAGGAAATTAATAGTAACACAATAATAGTAGGAGACTTTAATACCCCACTCACAACTATTTTATTTTTGCAATAAAAAATAACACTGAAATTTCTATAGTAGTCCTGTCCTGCAGAATAGAATATAAGCTACATAAAAGTATTTAAAGTTTTCTAAAGAGCTTCATTTCAAAAAGTATACTTTAATAATGCATTTTGTTTAATCCAATAAATCTAACAGTATTATCAACATATAACCAATTCAAAAAGTATTCATGAGATATTTTAGATTTTTCTCACACTAAATCTTTGAAATCTGGTGTATATTTTATACTCACAGACAATCTGAATTTGAACTCTGGTCACATTTCAAATGCTTAATGTCTAGTGATTACTGTGTTGGGCAGAGTGAACCTGCAGTGCTGTACATATTCACTATGTTTAAACAACAAATAGAGTCTATTTAACGGAGATCTCTTGCAGTCTTCCCTTGAACTTTTTAGAAACTCCATTGCGCCCCCTACAAAGGACTTGCCATGTTCCTGTCCAGGATGACTATGCCTCAGGGCGCTCTGTATGTTGTAAGGAAGCAGATCCACCAGAAGCTGGTGGCATTTCACTTTCATGTATCTTCTGCATTAAAATGTGCCCCGAGCCAAAGATAAAACTTGGCTTCTGGCTGCAGTATTAATCTTCTAGTACCTTTCACACCGGGCTTTGCTGGTGGCTCAGATGGTAAAGAATCTGCCTGCAACGAGGGACACTCGGGTGATGTCCCTGCGTTGTGAAGATTCCCTGGAGAAGGGAATGGCTACCAGTATTCTTACCTGAGGAAATCCATGGACAGGGGAGCCTGGTGAGCTACAGTCCATGGGATTGTAAAGAACCAAACGTGACTGAGTGACTCACACACACACACACACACACACACACACACACACACACACCTTTCACACTTCAGGGCATCTGGCCCAGCAACCTACTGCTAGAGCTGGTTTGAATCCAAGAGGAGGCTCATCTAATTCTGATGCAGGGTTCAAACGCTGCTGTCAACCTGAGCAGTCTATGCGCTAGCACACACTGAGTATCTACTATAGGCTAAAGTGAAAGAAGGGAAAGTGTTAGTCACTCAGTCTTACCGACTCTTTGAGACCCCGTGGACTAAGGCCCACCAGGTTTCTCTGTCCATGGAATTCTCCAGGCAATAACACTGGAGTGTGTGGCCATGCCCTTCTCCAGTGGATCTTCCCGACCAAGTGATTGAAACTGTGACTCTTGTATCTCCTGCATTGCAGGCAGATTCTTTACCCTCTGAGCCATCAGGGAAGTCCATTATAGGCTAAGCTAAGTTCATAACCTCACTTACTCAGATCCTCAATTGCTTTCAGTAGTACTTCACAGCATCCTCATCTCTGCCTCTGTTCCTCCATTCTTAAGTCATCCACTAGAGCCTCCAGCGTTTCCTTGGACACATCTGATTGTCGTGCCTCCACAGTGGACCCCTGGGATGGCTCCCACTGTTAAGAAAGTGCAAACTTTATTTAGTGTTGTATATGAGGCCCACCCCCCTCCCTGGCCCCAGCCCAGCTCTCAAGCTGCAGCTCTGTCTAGTTCCCTGATTGTGTGGCCTCTCCCTCATATTCTTTACACACGTGCTCCAGCCAGATGGCTTCTTGCCATCTGCTGATGGTGCCATATCATTCTGTCATGCTAGGTTTATATACACGGCTTCCTTTGCCTAGAATGTACTTTCCCTCTTGTTTACAGGTCAGAATCCTACATTTCCAATCTACAAAATCCAAGTTAATATTCAACTTCCGTCCTTGTTCTTGTTCCATGGAGGGGAGCTGCCTGCTAATCTGAAAACACCTTTGTTTCTGATGGTAGAAGTCAAATCCACCTGCTCTTTGGGGGAGGTTTTCTCAGTATATTTCTTGTTTACTGTCTTATTTCAGATGAGAGCTGCTACTAATCCATGAGCAATTCCAATAATGCTCAGGTAGTAGTATAGTGCCAGTCTTATCAAGAGTAATTCTTGATAAGACAAGGAAAAAAAACTAGAAGTTTTTTCAAAGTGCACTTGAAAGTAAGAATGACTATTACATTTTTTACTGTATTTTTTTAATACAGTCATGTCAAGAAAGGACTAAAAATAGGACATTGACCTTTTAACTCTTTTTTGTGAGCTGAGCTCACGTAAACCCTCATTTTATATTTGTTATCCTTTTGTGTTTTTCAGGGCAGTTTCCCATTCATGCTTTTCACAGCAGAGCTATCAAGAATTGACTCTCACACCTCAGCATGTCCCAAGACAAATTCATCACCATCTTTTTAAGCCTGTTCTTTTGGACTTTTCTAGTTCATTCTGGAAAGTTCATCACTTGGAGTTATACCCAACACGTCCTTCTCCATCGCTCCTGACAAAAATAAGTTGCCACGTCCTCTTATTCTACTTCTGCAGTATCTCTGACAATCACCCCTTCTCTGCTGTTCTCACTGCCTACATCCTAGTTCAGACCCATATTGTCTCCCACTTGTGTCCCTGGAATTACCTCAGCCCTATTTCCCTTTAACTCCTAAATTCCAACATTCACCAAGATTTCTAAAGCCCAGCTCAAAGCATGTCACCTCCCAGCTCAAAAACCCTCAGTTACTCCCCATCACTTAATAAACAAAATCCAGACTCTAGCCTGACAGCCAAAGCCCACCCATGATGTGACCCCAATATAATGTTATAATGTGATCTCCCTACTCCCCTCCATGTACTACAGTCAAAATGTACTAGTTGTCCCCCTGATACGCCCTGCCCATCTTAGCATCTGGCCTTTGTCTGTGGTGTTTTTGTCTCTTTAACTTCTTGCTAAATGAAATATGACCCCATCCTTCAAGTCCCAGTCACAACCACTGCCTCTTCCATGAAGACTTTCTGCATTTTCCAGCAGGAAATAATCTTTTAGTCCTTGTATATACATTTTTGTATTTTTGTTCTAATCCTTACTACAGCTTATATTGCAAGCTTCTTTGTGTATGTATGTGTGTCAATATCTTGTATCTGCTCAGATAATAAAGTTCATTTCATTGATGAACAGATATTTCTTAAGTACTTACTATGTGCTAGTACAATTCAGAAAACAGAGAGTAAGCTGGGCAATAGAGTACCCATTTTAAATGCCCAGATTACAGCACCTAGCATGTATGTTGCACTTTGTAAGCACTCAGTGATTCCTTGCCAAACTCATGGCTAAATTCCTAATTGATCTGAAAAATGAATTTCCAGAAAGTTTTACTTTCAGACCAGAAAAGCGAAAATGAAAATTAAGTTTAAAAGGCTTCAGAGCAGCTTAACTAGGAGTTCATAACATATATGTTTGTGTCTCTTGCACAGTTTAACCCTGGAGACCCTAGCAAGCCCTCACACAGAGCCCTTTGCTCCCAGTTTACACACATCCTTAACAATAATAATCATGACAACCACCACAGCAAGCTCCAGTATTTGATTTACAAGCTCATTTCAGATGAGAAGCAGGAAATTAGGAGCAGGGAATAGACATGGCATAATCAGTCACATTGGCATCAGTGAGACTGACAGTCTAGCAACAAAGGAGGATGCAAAAAAAAGCTAAAAAACAAAACAACAATTAAAAAAAAAAGCAATCTGCAGCCCTTTAGAATAGAGACAAACAGTTCTACATACCTCCAAAGAGCCTGAGGGCTTCTCAGCATTATAGCACAATACTACTTCTAATGACAACCTCGAGTCATCAAGTTGGATGATGTTTACAATGCATTATTTTAGAAGGCAGGGAAGATTAATATACTGGAAATTTTTCCATACAAGATAATTAAAACTCTTGGTATTTAAAAGGATAAATCCTCAGCCATCTATTAAACTCATTTATCCAGAATAACTCTCTTGCACCCCCACCCGTAGGCTCTGGAGCCAGGGTTTTATTGTACTTCCTTGCATTACTTGATTCATTTGCCTCAGAACATTCGTTGGCTCTCAGCATTTAGTTTAATCTTCATTAGGTAAGTTTTATTCCCATTTTATTTGCACAACACTCTACAAGGGCCAGTGGAGAACACAACCAATTGGAAAAGTCTAGACCCTAGGCTTGTCTTAGAGATGCCCAAGGTCTTGTTAAGGAGCTAAGACTTATATCCTTGAACCACGTGAAGACACAGTAGAGAAATGCAAATAAGTGTATACTGTGAAACAAACTTTGCAATGAAGGATCATTTGGGAAATGACTAGGACTTATTAAGATTACTTTGATATGAGCCTCTGAGCCAGAAGTGGAAGCTTTGTGGTAAAGAAGACAGCACAAAGAGTGCCTACCCGAGGCAAGAAAGAACAAATTGTGTGCTGGCAGCAGTGGCCAAGAGCTAGACTGACAGACTGAGACTGAGACACCTGCTTGCGGATGATAAGAGGTAAGTTTGAAGTGTTCCACCTTCTTGTATTAATACAAATCCCTTTGTATTAAAATAAATCATCTTTCTTAAATCATGTCTTAGTCTATTCAGGCTGCCATAACAAAATTAGATAGACTGAGTGACTTAAACAAAACCATATTTATTCTCACAGTTCTAGAGGCTGGGAAGTCAGGATCTAGGAGCCATGTTTCTGGTGAGAGCTGCTTCCTGATTCATAGACAGACACCTTCTTGCTGTGTCCTCACACTGGGGAGAAAGAGAGCAAGCTCTCTGGTGCCTCTTCTTATAAGGACACTAATAACATCATGACGGCCCCACCCTCATGACCTCATCTAACTCTGATTACCTCCCCTAAGCTCCATCTCCAGATATCATCACACTGGAGGGTAGGCCTTAAACAGATGGATTTGGTAAGATTGGGGGGTGTGGGTGGAGTCACATTTGGTCCATAACAGGTCATTTGAATGTAAATCTCTGCATCTTTTAAAAAACTCAAAAAATCAAGTTTGATATACAGACTAGTATTTATCTTCAGGGTTTTCCAGGTGCCTGTGGTGGTAAAGAACCTGTGTGCCAGTGCAGGAGACATAAGAGATGTGGGTTTGATCCCTGGGTTGGGAACATCCCCTGGAGGGGGGCATGGCAACCCTCCCCAGTATTCTTGTCTGGAGAATCCCATAAACAGAGGAAACTGGAAGGCTACAATCCTTAGGGTCGAAAATGTTCAGACACTACTGAAGCGGCTTAGCACACACACACATTTGTCTTCAACATGTCATTTTACAAGAGAAATCTGTGTAACATCTAGTTACAAGCTACAAAGATGACTTGATTTGCTTTCTCTACATTCATTTTACAAAAATAAAAAAATCATAGGAAGTAAAGTTCTCCTTTGGTTAGGAGCTCTGGAAATGTTCTAGAATACAGCATCCAGTGTATCTGAAGCTTTGGATGATGGCTAACGGATTCATGAGTTCAGTTCAGTTCAATCACTCAGTCGTGTCCGACTCTTTGCAATCTCATGGACTGCAGCACACAGGCCTCCCTGTCCATCACCAACTCCCGGAGCATGTTCCAACTCATGCCCATTGAGTCGGTGGTGCCATCCCATCATCTCATCCTCTGTCATTCCCTTCTCCTCCTGCCTTCAATCTTTCCCAGCATCAGGGTATTTTCCAGTGAGTCAGTTCTTCACATCAGGTGGCCAAAGTATAAACACAAATAATGGACTGAAACTTTCTACAGTTTGTTAACTGGTAAAGACTGGAGATTTATCAGCCTGTTAAAATGAGGTTCTAATAACTGTGCTTTTACCTAAACTGTAAACTCTGGGACCGTGGGGTAAGTGTTTTCCCCAAGAGTCTAAACCATCACCTACCACAGAAATGGGACTTAGTGTCAAGCGAAAAACAATAAACGATTGAATGCAAGACAAATTGACTTGTTAACATTTGATTAAAGTAAAATTCTACATTTCTAAAAATTAACTTACCCTGAATTGGCTGAGATGCTTATGACTGATGGATTATGCCTATTTAACAAATTAAACACAAACCACAAAATCAGGGATTTTAAACTAATTTTTTCACAGACACGTTTGTTGTAAATCCAGTACACGTATCCTGTTGAATTGGCTGCTTTGTGTAATTGAGAGCCAATTTCAACGTTCACATGACAATGAAAATCTCAAGCTTAAATTTATTAATATGTTGCCTTGGCAGAACACCAGGCTTCTTAGTAGCGAAATATGGAGAGAATGGATATTAGTCTCCAAAGATTTGAGTTTGATTTTGAAAATACACTGATGTTGTTCTTTAAAAGATCATTCACAAGGAAATATAACTGTAGAGATGTGGACTAGAAAGCAATTTAAATGAAAAATATTTCAAAGGACAGAGAATCAAAGTTTCAGCATGGTATTTGGTTGAAAGGCCCAGGGATCAAAATATTTAAGTGTTTTAAGTCCCACCTGAGCAATTCAAATCCTGAATCATTGCTCATGCATCTATCTGAGAACTCCTAATCTAGACATACTTAACAAAGAATTTGTCAAACACACTAGAATATGGAACAGAAGACCTACATATTCAACCAGACAGATCCCAGAAAAGGAGAATTCATCATTTCTAATAGCCAAGATTGTAATTTATTTGGCACACATCAAGTATCTGTCCAGCCCTGTCAAGTGACACATAGGATTATCTCTCTAATCCTTACAAAAAGCCCATTGAACAGATAAGGAAACTAAGGCTCAAAAATAGGTTAAGCAAATTACCCCAAATCAACAAGCCTATAAATGGCAAAGGCAAGATTTTAGCCTTTGTTATTGACCACTCCATTTTGTTTCACTGCTCCTCAAGAGGTGGTCCTTGAAAGGGCAACATCAGCATCGCCTAGGAATTTGTTGGAAATCAAAGTCCCGAACTCTACTGAATGAGAATCACTGGCTATGGGACCCAGGAATCTGTTTTAACTAGCTCTGCAGGAAATTCTAATGCACACTAAAGTCTGAGAAGTACAACTCTATCCTACTCTATTTCTCCAAACTTTAGCAAATATATATATTTCACTTTGCCAATGTAGTTTCTTACAAAACTCAGAAAATAAAGAAAATTAATATCACATCCATTTCTTTGTTTGAACCATAATCACTTGACCAGCAACCTTAATTCTGACAAATAGAATATATAAAATGAGCCCCAAAGAAAACAGCACAATGGCATTACTATCCATCTATAATATAAACGAGGGCTACAGTGATTGGAATTCTTTCAAGACCTGACTACACATATTGATTTAGGATTAGAATAGTAATCACTTAGCTCATTCTAAGCTTTAACAGATAAAATAGATTTTTAATATAAGCTCAGAAATGAGTATCTTGCCAAGAGGGCAAGAGTAACCATCCAATGTGCTGTGACAAAAGTGAAATACAATACATGAAAAGGGCAATCAGAATTCCAATCTATTGCTATGAATGATTGTCTTGCCGGGAAATGAAATGTATTGACATTGCTGCTGAGCTGTCATTAACATGTTATACAGACATTGAGATTTTTCTAAGCAAAGTTACTGGAAGTCATTCAAATATTTATAATGGTGTAATGGGTGGACTGGAGATTTTCTCTTTCAGGAAAAAAAAAAAAAAGTGTGTTCCAAGCTCCTTGATGAGAAAATATTTGGAATAAAGCACAATAGATTTATATACAGACTTATAGGGTTGAAATTGATTTTTGTTTCCCTGGGAATTTAAGAATCTTTTTAATAGTGGAGAGCTGGTGTACAGCTGCAAGAGGTTGGCTTAATACAGAGCCAATATTTATGCTTTCTTGATAGAACAAATGAGAGTCCTTGCTCTGTTTTCTATCTTACTTTTGTTGAAAGTCTGGCAACACTGGGATATAATACTTGCTTCTTCAAAATGTTTCTAAATTGTTCACTGTTTTGCATTTAATCTTGAAGCTGCTTTATTTATAATATTATTAAACCTCAAAGAAACCCATATGGTGGAAGGGAATGGAGAAATTTTGTGATTTCACTGTTTTATTTTTCTTTAATAGAATTTATGTGAAACCAAAAATCATTCAAGTTTGTGTTTTTATTTTCAAGGAGTGTGTCCATGCCTTGCAACAGGATGCCTTAAACAGAT